GAGCCCGTTTTGCTTGTCTGGTGGTTCATGCTAACGTCACAGTTGTCAACCGCTAAATTACCAATTTTGACTTCCATTTTAGTGTAAACAGCAGTATCACGAACCACTTTCTTCTTTCCGCTGGACATGAAGAAACTGAGGAACGTAAGGCGATAAAATTTTCCATTTCTGCACTTTCCGATGTTTAATGCCTGAGGTTTTCTCGATAATTTTTGAAATCTTGGCATTGAAAAATAACCCACATTTGCAAATCGGATGATGGACTTCTTAGAGGGTGAATATTACTTACCGTATTGATCATTAAGGCGATATCATATACCCCAGGTCAATAAAATAGATCCTATTTGAATATTTAGTATCGTATCTCTCTTTCAGAATGATATCCTTGTTTCCATCAAGGTCCGGTCTGCTTCAAGTGTGAAAATCGACGTAGCGCTCCCGGGCGAATTTACGGTAAATGGGGAACCCTCCAGATAATCTTTGCTCTGACTTTAATCCTCAGCCCAGTTCTTGTGTGCATATACTCAAAAACAAAAACCAAGTGCTCAGATCAATCATACAGTTTGAATATTTTCAATATCGATGAACACTGTACTTAATCAAACACAACTTTAAACTGTAGGAAGACCACCTACCAATACAACTGTCTGCAATGGCATTGCTCACTGGCTCAACAAGAGTGAAAATTTTGTACAGCCTGTAGTATTTCATTCAAAGTGTATCTTATTTGGGCCGTGTCTCCCAACAGCTGACTCTCTCCATATTTTCAGGATTATTCAGAATAGCAATTTTCCAGATTTGAAACTGTGTGATACCGCGTTCGTTTTAACAACCTCATTGCCCTTCCCGTTGAGTATTGGACAATTATGCCAGTTCCTTTTTCTTCAAAGGTGGTTTCAGAATTTTCTATGAAATTGAGGCACAGCTTTTCTACCAAGACGCATTCTTTATATGAAATTAATTCATTCCTTCGTGATAGAGAGTTGATTTACAGATAAAGCGTCCTCAAGCTACGGATTTCAATAAGATGAACCAAGCATATTTCGAACACCGCTTCTGAACAGCTTCTTCAGAAGCCAAATCTATACTTTGAAGCGTTTCTCCCTTGTGGTACAGACGAATTTTCCCTTAGGGATGAGTACCGGTCGACTCATGCATTTAGGAGATGGCTTTCCTATTCCATGGAACACATTTGGCCCGGAATTATTCTTGCATCATTATCATGCTTCTATCGAGAAGAGTCAATGTTCTGTTTTTACTTACTTCATTGACTAGGTGAATGCTACACGTTCTTCTCAATTAGTAACACCTCATGTTTCACTGTTACCCATTACCATAATTACGCTGTTTATATCGAGATTGATTGACCGAAAGAAATCTCCAGCAAATGTGCATGTCGTCTTCACGTGGATTACGTTCCAATAGAGCAAATGTTGTCCCTTCAGCTGCTCCTCTCCCCCATAGCGCAGAAGCTATGGTATTATGTTCTGTGTTGAATTTTTGATACATGAGTTTGCAGAAGCTCCC